TGTGGATGTATATTCCTTTGAAATTATAGGAAGAATAACACCCATTTACTTTTAGAGAGAATGAAAAGATCACATATTTGAAATAGACTCATAAGATAAAGAAAACCTGCATTTTCACAAACACTGAAAAATACTCTCAACTCATGGAACGTTGAATATTCTCCCATGAGGAGATTTATTATGTGCCATATGTGAGGGTTAAGGAAACAACAGGAAGTTGCTGAAAAGACAACATTTAAAATTTAAAAATATATCCAAAAGTCAGATATCCAATCAGCAATGTCTCATGATTAAAAAATATTAAAAGTAATTTCTGAAATATTATACACTTTGTCACCAGTTTAGTCCCCAATTGTCTGAGTCCTGGTCAAGAAGTATACAAAGTGTGGTGTTAAGCAGGACAATTTAATCCTGGCTCTGCCCCTATTTTGCAATGTGGCTTTGTACAAATTATCTAAAGTTTCTTTGTCTTTTCCAGGGCACCTGGGTGGCTCAGGTCATGATCCTGAGATCCTGGGATGGAGTCCTGCAGTGGGTTCCTTGCTCAGCGGGGAGTCTGCTTCTCTCTCTCCCTCTGCCCCTCCCCCCTGCTCAGGCTCTTGATCTCTCTCTTTCTCTCTCTCTCTCTCTCTCTCTTTCTCTCTCCCTCTCTCTCGATCTCCCTCAAATAATAAAAAAAAAATCTTAAAAAAAAATAAAGCCTTTGTGTCTTTTCCAGCTTTCATTAAGCTATTTCAGAGTCATACTAATAGATCACATCTGGTAATATATGTTTCATTTCTCCTCGGCTCTGGGAATGGAAGTGTATAAAATTCCCCCTCTCTGATGCCTGATGAAGAGTAACTGGTCAAGTATGACAACTGTTCATCTACAAAGTTTCTTATACCTACAAAGGAATTTGTGTTCAAAACTTGGCCTTAGCACTGTAGCCTTTTATAGTATAGTTACAGTAAAAGGATACAGGAAAGTATTGTTTTTTTTCTATATATATCTTATTATTCCTAAGGATGTTTATATCATTCCTAGCCCTGTCCACACCTTTTTCTAAACATGCCTCAGGAGACAGAATAGGGGTTCTCTTCCAAAAAATAAAACCACAATAAAGCCAAGCCAAACTGAAACACCTCCCAGGCAGCTTATTTTTTTTACTTTAGGGTGTGGGTGGTCCCTAGAGAGAGACTTCATTATGATCAAGGCACTTGGAATAAAATTTAGGGATATTGAACCTATAGTTAGGAAAATAGAGGGAAAAACAGCATCAAAAAGAAAGTTTCACTTTTTCTTTTTTTCTTTTTGTTTCAGGTATAGAATTTAGTGATTCATGACTTTCATACACCAACCAGTGCTCATCACAAGTGCCCTCCTTAATCCCCATCACCTACCTAGACCATCCCCCCATTCTCTTCTCCTCTAACAACCCTCGGTTTGTTCTTTACAGTTAAAAAAAAAAAAATGAAACTTTCAGCTCCATGGTCTTTCCATAATGGAAGCCAAGATTCCTAGGAAATTGCCATATCTGCTGTAGAAACTCCTTAGGGTTGTGTTTTTCTGGGTCCTGAGATAAAACAAAAAGATGGTGAATATTGAGAAAGGGAGGCAGGGGGGTAGAAAGGGAAGGAGGAAGAAGGGAGAGCAGGAGAGAGCAAGAAGAGAGTCAGAGTAGAAAAATTTCCAAATGACCAGGGAAAGATGATTCATTGGAAGGGAATTTTTAAAACTTTGTGCAGAAGATATCATATACTTTTTGCATCTTCTGTCCTAGAGACAACCTTAGGAAGGATGATCTGTTTACATGGATATAATTATTATTAAATAATATTCTAATTCCTTAGGTCCATGCCCTCATTCCACAGTAAGGATTTAAGATTATTCTTTTTGATCCTTTGAGCAGAAGATCAGCATTTCTGTTGCCCCTGTATTATACAAGGAAAAGCAGTTTTCTTAAGGGATAATTTGGTTGATTTCCATGGTTCTTCTTTTACCTTCTTATTATTTATAATATTTGGCCAGGGAAATATCAATCACAATAAGGAACAACATTTAAAACAACGTTTATGCCTGGAGTGCTGGGGTGGCTCAGTTGATTAAGTGACTGATTCTTGGTGTCAGCTCAGGTCATGATCCAGCCCTGCATCCAGCTGTGCTCAGCATAGAGTCAGCTCAAGATTCTCTCCCTCCCTCTCCCTCTGCCCCACCTGCTCTTGCTTGCTCTCTCTCTCTCAAATAAATAAATAAAAAACTTAAAAAATAGTTTATGCCTTTCAGATGTGTACTAATATAAATAGGTTTGAGCAGGGGTAGATAGGCATATAACAGATATTTATATATAGTTGATACATTCATTCAACGTTAATTGAGCTTCTTCCATCTGATGTTCTAGGTGCTAGAATTGATGTTCTTCTGGTGACTAAATAGACTATGATAACCTTCTTCAAAAGGAGCTTACTTTCTACAGCTATAAACCAGAAGAAATGAGTAAGATATATAATATATTTGATAGTAATAAGATATATGGAGAAAAACAAAGCCATCATGGTGGTGGGTCCACATATGCACTTGTACTTCTGAAATCTAGAACCATCCACCTATTCAAGTTTCTTGGGCTGCACAGAACTTTCAAGAGACTTAGGGTTTGGGGAGGACGTTTAGCTTAAACTATATTCTGCCCTCTGATCTTCTTCTTTTATGTTCTGCTGATTTGAGATATTCTTTAGGTCAATGCCTTGAGAAGCCAACAATCTCCAGGAAAATTTAGACCAAACTACATAGGCAAGCTAATTGAAGGAAACAGGGGAGAAAGCAAATCTCTCCGAATCTCATACGAGTCAGTGAATAGAGACTAGTATGTCTAGAAGATAAATTTAGCTGAGTCCACCTTCTGCTGTCAGAAATACTGCTGAAAGGTCAATAGATTTTAAAAAATTCAACAAAGTTTAACTTTAGATAATCCTCCTTGCCGCTGTAAAAATTACATAGTTTAAGTCATATTAAGTTTTCACAATTTCATTCTTCATTCATTTACTCATTCAAATATGTATTCAGCCCTTATGTGCCAGGCACTACTTTCAGTCTTGGAAATATACTGGTGAGCAAGGCAGACAATATCATTGTTTTCATGGAATGTACCTTCAATGGGAGGGAGGATATAAATGAAAACAAACACATGAAAGCCATGAAAATATTAGTAATCTTATTTTTAAAAAACTTATGTAAAGGGGTTATGTATTAGAAACGAACTCATGGAGCTCCTCCAAGGATGCACCTTTAAATGGAAAGCTGAGTAGCGGGGAGTAGCCTACCAACACGTGCTCTGAGGATTGATTAATGCAGGGCAGAGGAGAGCTCACTCAAATGGACAAGGACTGGGACAAATTTGTTTGTTTTAAGGATAAACAGAGGCCAGTGGGTAGAACACTTGAGTGAGGGGAGAGTAGTTCGGAAAAAGATTAAAGAAGTAGGTCGGGTCCAGAAGAAAAAGACTTGTAATTTTAAGTGCAAAAAAGTAATTGGAAGTTTTTAAGTTGGGAAATAACGTAACTTCAAATTTCAAATTCTGTTAAAAAGAGAAATCTGAATCTTCACAAAGAGTGATTTGGATTTTATTCCAACTGTAATGCAATCCACTGAAAGTTTTTAATGGAGATAATTATTAAGAGAAAGTAAGATTCACTTTTTAAAATATATCAGTCTCAATGTCTGCTCCATGATTTTTCCTACTAGATTGTAAATTCCAAAGGATAGTAATCACATTTTCCATTTTTATCTTTCCCACTTACCATTCCCCATTTGGAAATAATGTGTAACAGAAACTTCTATACCTAGACTACATTACATAAAGGACTTTGCTAAAGAGGAAATGAATTTATAGGTCTTCAATCTTTTTGTATTGGAACATGACTTCAAGGGATGCCTGGGTGGCTCAGTCCATTAAGCGTTGGCCTTTGCCTCAGGTCATGATCTCCAGGTCCTGGGATCAACTCCCATATCACGCTCCCTGCTCAGCAGGGAGTCTGTTTCTCCCTGTTCCTCTGCCCCTCCCCCTGCTTGTGCGCGCTCTCTGTCAAATAAATAAATAAAATTTAGGGGAAAAAATTTAAAAAAAGAACATGACTTCATTTCCCAATGAAATGAAACACAGGTCTTGGAGACACCAAAGTTTCTTTGAGGGTGTTGCTCTCCCTTTGTTTCATTTTGATCACAACGCTAGATGCTATGTGACCTGAGGGGATGGGAGTGGGAGGGTCTTTCTTGTCTGATATCACAGGTCATTTAGATTAACAGTCCCACTAGGTGATGATGGGTTCACTGTTGACTGGGTAGAGCCTCTGCAATTAGCAGAAGGCAAACTCGTGGGGGCGTGGCATTTATTACTTAACTGTTCAAAATTGAGACAGCTTGGATCCATCTTCAAGAAACTGATGACCATGTCTCTTTATAATCCATTTTTGCAGAGATAGAAATCAAATGAATGAACAAAGTCCTTATAAAAGAGGGACTTTCAACAAAGCAATCTCAAAAAGGAAACAGTCAACTGATCATTTTCATTACTGATATGCAATTTTCTTTTCAGAAGAAGCCCATATGGAACTCGGTGGGGAGGCGTTTTGCAAAAGTAACAACAAATTAATTTCATCTCTTCTCTGATGATATGAAAAACGGTTCCCCGTTCAGGCATTTCTATGTCTTTCATAACTCGAATTTTGACACAAAGAAGGTTATGCAAACAACCTTTTAAAGATAAGGGCAATGCGTAACTTGATTCGGTAGAACTGCGGGTGGTGTTGGGGCTATGGAAATGGGCGGGGCGTGTGAGGGAATCCCGCTGTGGAAGGGAGGCTTGGCACTGAGGCTTTTGACAGTGTTCTGAGGACAGAGGGAGTGTTACCTAGCCCCTGCTTACTGTTGTTCTTTCCCAGAACCAGCTCTTCTGACTTGCTGGTGGAATGGATCCAAGAGAAAGAAAAAGCGAAATCCTGCCTTTTCCTCTTTGTTCCCTGCAGAGCGCCGGCCTCCCTCTTCAGTTTGGCGTCCAGTGGCCCTGACCCTGCTGACTTTGTGTTTGGTGCTGCTGATTGGCCTGTTAGCCCTGGGGCTTGTGTGTAAGTCTGCGCTCTGACTTGGGGGAGGATCCTGGTTCTAAGGTTTGTCTAGGATGAGAAATACTTATGTTTTTGGGTTTTTTTACTTTGATTCTGGAGCCCATGGATAATTCAATATACCTTATTCTAAAGCACTCATCGAAATGACCAGCAGTGAAAGAAGCATTAAAAAATACAGCAATCACTTGCCAGCTAGACTTTTACATTCTGTTTGAGATAAGCAGGTTTTATCTGTTTGTTTACATGTCAATATTTAAAATCAGCAATTTTGGGGGGGTGGGGCAGAGGAAAGGCTCTGTGGAGGGGGAGGGGCAGAGGGAGTGGGGGAGAGAGAATCTTAAGCAGACTCCGCTTGGAGCACAGAGCTGCGCTAGGGTCTTCACTTGAAGATCCTAGGATCATGACCTGAGCCGAAATCAAGAGTCAGATGCTGAACCGACTGAGCCCCTAAAATCAGCAGTTTTTAATGAATGCATGATTTAGCTCTCTTTCATTCTACAAGAGTACAGGCTGTGGTTTTTGCTCTTAGTATGCATAGCTCAGTAGCTAATACAGAGAGAAGAGATTTCATTTATATCTACTCCCTCAATATAAGGAAAGCAGAATAGGTCCTTAATTTCTACAGTATTTTTCAAAAAGTCCAGGAAATTATGGAATCATTTCGCAAAATCCTGTGAAAACCAAACAAGGAAAAATGCATGCATGTGAAAAAGTCTTTAAATTTCAAAACAAGTAAAGACAAGTAAAAAAAGTAAAAAAAAAAAAAAAAAAAAGGAAGGGGGTGAATTTGCTTCATGAGATTGAGACCCTACAGTAATGTTTCCTGAGCAGTTGAAGAAGGTGGCTCAAGGTAAAAGGTTACCCTGAAGAGCAGGTCAAACATTTGGTTTTTCTAAGGCATGTTAGAACTGTCCTTTGTTATTGTAACTTTTTTAAAATTAAAAAAGTGTTTCTTAGTGTTTCTACCATGGCCCCCCAATTTTTACTTCATTTTGACATAATTTGTTTCACAACCACCATTCTTTTTAGGGATATAAATCAACTTTCATGATTCATGAAGGATTTCTCTACTTAGATTTAGAAATCTGGAGCTTAAACCTAAGTGTTGAAATTTTCTAGCCAAGGGATACTAAGGAAATTACTTGTTCTCACTGAGCCCAATTTGGAAGTATAAAACTATGGAAATGATAATATGACTATTTTAGTGAATGAACTAGATAACAATATATGGTACACTGTCAGTGCTCAATATAATAATCAATAGATAAATGGATTTGTGTTTTTATTAAACAGTGGTTTAAGAGTGGACACAAAATATTTATTGAGCAGTAAATATGGTTAAGGAATTTAGTCCTGAAATTAGAAACTGTTACTATGATTCTACATTTTCAGATAAAAAAAACAGACTTAGAGACATTAATTTGCCCAAGACAATGCAATTTATCATGTGCTTCAGTTCAAATTTGAACACAGGCAAAATGAAATCTCAGAGCATGAGATCTTAAACAATACGATGTTTTGTCTTCCCCCATATGTAAAAAGTAGAAATAGAAATGAAGAAATCAGCTGTCCAGTCTGACTTGGTAACTTGGGTTAGTTTTTCAGTTCTATCACCTTTCCAATACTCAGCAAGACAGCCTTTCTCACAAGGAAGAAAGATTGGGGAATCTCTCCCGACAGCTGCAGTCTCTCCAAACCAAGAACAGGAAGCTTGCAGAAATCCTACAGCGCGTGGCCGAAAAACTGTGTCGAGAGCTCTATAACAAAAGTGGAGGTGAGTCCCGATCACTAAGCTCCCTCTGCCCTCAGGCTAGCTGTTATTATAGAACTGACTTTCCCATCCGTATGCCTGGGAGTCACAAGTTATTTAGTTAGTTGTCAGGCAAACTTCATGAAGAATTTGGGCACCCAGGTCAATCTCCAGTTATTGGGCTCATTTAGTTCAGATAGGTCTGTGTTGTAATACATAAACGGATTCTTCAAATTCAGACATTTTAAACAAAAAAAACCAATTAACTTCAAATAACCAAAATAACACTGCAAATAAATAAAACACAGGGTCATTTCTCAATTTACCTAGGTACACAAAGACCTAACAGTAGTATACATTTCATAATGTGCTCATAATTTTTTCTCCCCTTAAGAAGTTAATGAGCTCATGAAAGTTGTCACATTTTAAGAGTCATATGGGATCAGGTTAAAAATGCTGATGAATGGAATCAAATTACAGGTATTTAAATCCACTGTGCCTTCGTTCTGCATGGAGCACTGGGTGTTACGCACAAACAATGAATCATGGAACACTGCATCAAAAACTAATGATGTAATATATGGTGATTAACATAACAATAAAAAAATTTGAAAAAAAAATAAATAAATCCACTGTGCCTTGTCTGGGTACCATAAATCGGCGTTTGAATAATGATGACAATGCCAGTGGGAGATGAACCATGCTTTGATAACCACCTCTGGACAAGACTAGAAGAACTACCTCATTCCTGTGCCTTTTCCTCCTGTCTTTTTTTGGGTTTCGTAGTGTCTAACTCTACTCATGTTAGCCCACTCTTCTATTCTGCTTATCTTGCATGCATAGGAAGCAACATACATTCTAAGTGGTCACTTTTTATTTGTCTTTCAGGGACTTGAAATTAGGATGAATCTTCCTCTTCCCACACTAACCAGAAGGCCAGATTGCGTGGTTACCCAGTAAAATAACACCCGCAGGCACACATTTCCACTTCTCTAAGTGATTCTTCCCCACATGATTAATGAGCTCACTGGTCACAGTTTTCTTTCTTTTCTTTTTTTTCTTTTTTAACTTCAGTGAGGAATAATTGACACATGGAGTTGTATATATTTAAAGTGTACAATGTAATGATTTGATATACCTATACACTGTACAATGATTATCAAGGCCAAGATAATTAATACATTTACCACTTCATATAGTTTTGTTTTTCTTCTTGTGTTTCCGACAACCCACTGTATATTGTTTCCTTTGTTGGGTGCCATGTCATCAAAAGATAATCCAGGTTTCTCTGAAACCAGTGGTCTCTGGAATTTACATCTAGCTGTATAAAGACAAAAAGAAAGCTGTATATACAAATAAACTATATTTTGTTTAAATATAAAATCTAACATGCAAGTGTATTAATGATATCCCTATTCCCATGAAAATGTTCATATACCTTTGGTTTGATGTTAGCTCTCAGTGTTATCCTGCTGCTCTCCATTTCTTTCCCATTATCCATCCATCCATCTACTCTTGCACACGAGTAAGATTTACTGATGCATGCCATGCAAAGCCTACACAGATTTCTCCCCTCATAGACCTCTTACTCGATTGGGGTGGTGGTAATAAATCAATTTAAAAAAGCAAAATAAGATGATCGACTTGTCCCAGTTTGCTCAAAACTTTTCCAGTTTTAGTATTAAAAGTCCTATATTTTGGGAAAGCCTAGATTTCAGACATGCAAGAATGGTTGGTCAAACTAAACATAGCATGTAAGAAGGTAATCAATACTATGGAAAATAAAGTAGATATGGTATGAGGCATCAGGGATTCAGGGATGGTGGGTTGCTAATTTATGTAGGGATACAATTAATTAATTAATACTTAATTCCTAATTAAGATGAGGGTATAGGAGCAAAGATTTGAAGACTTAGGGGAATTAGCCATGTAGATACATGAAGAAAGCAGAAGCCAGGTAGAGAAAACAGGAAGTGCAAAAGCCCTGAAATGAATGGAGCTGCATGTTCAGGGAACAATTGGGAGTCTGTGCATCTGGAGCAGAGTGAAGGAGGAGAGGACTGGTAGGAGATGTGGTAGTGATTATATATGGCGTTAGGTGAAGTTATTAGGGATTTGGCTTCTATTTTGAGCAAAATAAGGATTCATTACAGAATCTTGAGCAGAGGAAATATAGATCTGACATGAGCATTTAAAGGCTCACTCTGCAAATATGTTGAAAATACACTGGAAGAAGGAAAAATAAAAACATAGAAATCACCTAAGAGATGGCTTTTGCAGTAATCCAGGAGAGAGATGATGTTGCCTCAAACTAGGATATTATTAGAGAGATGAATGCATGATGGAATAAAAAGGCACATGAGAGAAATAAAGGAGTCAAGGATACTTCCAGAGTTTGGGGGCAAAGCAATTACAAGAGATGTGATCAAGTGAAACGGGAAGAATTCTGTGGTTAGGAGTGGGAAAGGTTAGGGATGCTGTTTTGGGCATGTTGAAGTGGAGATCTGAGTAAGTAGTTTGGTATAAGGCCTGGGCCGGAAATATGAACTGACTCACAAAGGAATCTCACAATTATTTATTTATTTAAAACTATTTTACCTTAAGGAAGATTTCAAATATACAAAAATGCAAACAATAACATAATATTCAAGTGCATATTGACCATTCAAATTTTAACATGTTAACATGTTGACACCGGATTGTTCTTAAAATAAAGATGTTTTTATGGAATGATTGAGTTCCCATCCCACCATCAGGGACTTGATTACAAGTCAGAACTCTCAAAGGCCCAAGGCCATGTATCCTCAGCAGTGTTAAAACCATGGTTCTCAGGGACTAGTTTCTATACTTAAAACCTCTACCTATTAGTCCATCTCACCCTTGACTTCTGCACTTACTTCTCTGACTTTGGTGCCCATCTTGATTTCTGACACATGGAGATTTACCATTCTAAATCATACCTTGCTTAGTATATTTGTCTTTTTTTTTCTAAAATTTTATTTGCTTGTGTTTAGAGTAAGAAAAGAGTCCATATCTTATTGGTATATATTGCATTAAAAAAATCCTTTTATAATTACATAAGAGGATTTTGAGGAAAAAATTGTGGAAGTTTCAGTCCTTTCTTAAATACAAGGCATAATGAGTTTTTGAACATATGAAAAGTTCTTTATGAAATTGAATATCCTCTGTGTGCTGAATTATATAGGGCAAGAAGCAAGGAAGTTCTAATCATTTATTGTTAGATTCCAAACTCCATGAAAGCAGGTAGTGTCTGTTTTAATTTTTACTGTATACTCAGTACCAATTACAATTTCTGGCCTATAGTGAGTGTTTGGTAAACATTTGTAGTTATCATTTCTGGGCAATTAAATATCTGAAAGAAAGTACTCTAAATAATAAGAGTACTTGAATCATCAAGTACTATGTAATTTCAGGGGCAGAAAGATGGCAGACCTGGATAGAAGATAGCATTAAAATTGGTTTCTTTCCAAGAACACAGATGCAGCCCTTGTCCAGAAGAATGGAAGTGGCATGGGGACAAATGCTACCGATTCTGTAGAGAGAGCAAGAATTGGCAGGGCTGTGACTATTTCTGCATCGCTGAGAACGCGACCATGCTGAAGATAAACACACCAGAAGTGCTGGTAAGATTCCTGTTTGAATTATTCTCGAAAAAGAGGTCCTTAAAAGAGCTATACAAGAAGAGCCTAAGGAGTCAATGTGCCCAGACTTTTGCACTTACTGTAATCAAGGTCTTACTCCTATTGTTTGGAGTGATTCCCTGAGTACGTAAAAGCTGTTCTGCTCTCCACAAAAACAAACAAACAAACAAACAAACAAAAAACCACTAGAGGAAGCTCTTCAAAATCCCCAGCAGTCAGGAATCAAATAAAAAATCCCTTAATTTCTTACCGCTTTTGGTTTGGGCAGGAAAGGCACAATATTGAGGCAAGCTTAGAAAGATGAAAATAGCATTTCCTGTTCTTCCGTTATAAAAGGACAAAGCTTTTAATTGAAAAATATTTAATTAAATCATTACTATAACCTGCAGATAAATATCTTTTTTTTTTTTTTTAAATATTTTATTTATTTATTTGACAGAGAGAGATACAGAGAGAGCAGGAACACAAGCAGGGGGAGTGGGAGAGGGAGAAGCAGGCCTCCCGCGGAGCAGGGAGCCCGATGTGGGGCTCGATCCCAGGACCCTGGGATCATGACCTGAGCCGAAGGCAGACGCTTAACGACTGAGCCGCCCAGGCGCCCCTGCAGATAAATATCTTGTCCTCCAGAAGTTTATAACCTAACATAGATTAGTCGAGGCAAATATGAAAGTAAAATTATAAATTGACATATATTAAGTATATGCAGTTAAGATAAACTTTTAAAATTGTGTAATTGTTCTCACCCTTTTTAAAAATATTTATTATTGCCTTTGGATTTAAAGCCTTAGGCAGTGTGACCATTATTTATCCTTGTTTTAGCAGAAGTCTTGGCACAGAGTAGTTTATCAACAAAGGATTATTTAACTGAAATAAATGCCCAGCTCACTATGCAAACTCTTAACATCCTTCTAGTTACATCTTAATTCCTACCCACTTTTCTGAAATCTGTGATGAATGCAACTCTGAAGTGTCTCTCATCTACTAAAATAGTATTTTTTATCCTTTCTCGATGGCTCAATTTAAGCAGAAAGGGGGGTAATTTATTTGACTGAGACAATGTGTCCTACCATAATTATGCCCACCTGATTTTTCTTGTACTCTTTGTTTCCTCCACCTCTAGCACATACTGAGGATTCAGGTATATTATAATTGAATTGTATTATATATAATGGTAGGAAATATTGTGCAAGTTATATAGTGATTTTGTCTCATGCACTTCAAAGAATTGCACATATTTAAGTCGTTTTCATATGACTTATTTTTAGAACTTTTAATTTGAGCTGTCTACCATAAATTGGAAGTATTTTCAACTACACTTCCTTTGATATGCCTACTAGATGACTATTGCTTAGTGATAGTTTCATATCTATTTCCAATAACCTTTTATTGAATCAACATATGGCATTAATTATCTGAAGGGTTGAGGACATAAAACAAAGTATGTATCCTTAAGGAACTCATAGTATAGTGGAAAGGAAGGACATAAAAATTGATAATTATAATAAATTTAAATAATTTATGTTAAAGAATAAGACTGGATAGAAGGAAGTAGGTAACTAAAAAAATTTAATATAGGGGGGCGGCTGGGTCCCTCAGTCAGTTAAGTGTCTCACTCTTGATTTCAGCTCAGGTCATGATATCAGGGTCGTGAGATCAAGCCCCAAGTTGGGCTCCACGCTCAGAATGGAGTCCCTCTCCCCCCGCTCCTCCCCCCACCTCAAATAAATAAATAAATAAAATCTTAAAAAAATCCATATAGATATTAGAGAAGGAATTATATATGTGTATATATATAAATACTATACAAAAATATAAATACACACACACACATATATGAAAAATTTCCCTTTCTCCCCTTCCTTGTCTGAGACATAAATCATCCTTCCAAATTTTCTCTTACCTCTTTTTGCATTAAAGTATATTCATTATTCTTGGGGCACCTGGGTGGCTCAGTTGGTTAAGCGACTGCCTTCGGCTCAGGTCATGATCCTGGAGTCCTGGGATCGAGTCCCACATCGGACTCCCGGCTCAGCGGGGAGCCTGATTCTCCCTCTGACCCTCTCCCCTCTCATGCTGTTTCTCTCTCTCAAATAAATAAATAAATAAAATCTTAAAAAAAAAGTATATTTATTATTCTCTTCTCCTTCCTGTCAGTCCCTTTGCATGTATTTATAAAGATTACTTTCCCCATTTTTACACTTTTCTTCCCCTATTCTTCCATTTTGCAATCACCCCACATCTCCTTGTAAATCCGTCCCCCATATTTTTTTTATCTAAATCTTAGTGTTTACTCTGTGACTTGAAAATAATGGGTCATTTATAAATCTTAATCTTGGTTGATGTGATTCTTGGTTTTAGAATATCCACATATATTCAAACTTATTAAGACAAGATAAATTCTTTAACTTGGACTGACTTCAGCTCGGACACTTTTTCCCTCAAGTGTACCATCACCTATGTGGGGCAGGACTTGTGTGCTGTTCTCATATTAAAAGTGCTGGATGGTCCTACACATCTCTGCGTATACATAGTATAACATGTCTAAAGCTAAAGGTCTTCTTGTGTGCCTTTCACAGGAGTTTGCCATGCCTCAGAGCTACTCTGAGTTTTTCTACTCTTATTGGACAGGGCTCTCTCGCAACGGCAGTGGCAAAGCCTGGCTGTGGACTGATGGAGCCCCGTACTCTCCTGAACTGTAAGCCTTCAGAACATTTTGTGGGAAAGGCATTTAGTAGAGAGCTTGCGCTTCAGTAACTGAGTTCAACAACTTGATTCAATAAGCATTAATCAAACCTCCACTTTGTATTGGATACTGTGTTTGTAGGAGGATGTACACAGATGTATAAAAATAAAGCATAGTGCTTGCTTTTGAATGGCTTATAAACCAGTGAAGGAGACATACAAAATGTTAGTAAAATAGTAGGGACCGTTCTCTGTTTGGAAGCTTTCAGAGTTTTTATTTCAGGGTCTGAAGTCCCTTGGAGCATTATTAAGTATTTGGGATTTGCGGATGGGGGAAGGGGGGAAGACAGAGACCGAGAGAGAGAGAGAGAGAGAGAGAGAGAGAGAGAGAGAGAAAAGAAGGAGGAGGAGGAGGAGGGGAAGAGATCTTTTATGGATGAATAAACTGAAACCCAGGTCATGATGGTAACTTGCCTAAGACCACACAACTTCACAACTTACCAATACCCAGAGATAATGCAAGACCTCAGATTTCTTGTCTTCCTGTGCAGTGTAAAAAGGAGCACATCTTTGGAAGTACAGTTTCAGAGGGGTACCTGGGTGGCCCAGCTGGTTAAGCATCTGACTCTTGGTTTTGGCTCAGGTTATGATCTCAGGGGCCTGCGCTCAGTGCAGAGTCTCCTTGTCCCTCTCCCTCTGCTCCTCCCCCCACTTAGGCTCCCTCTCTCTCTCTCTCAAATAAATGAGTAACATTTTTAAAAATACAGTCTCTGAGAAAAGATTTACTGAGGTTATAAGGAGCAATATTATCAAAAATTGGTTTTACTTATGTGAGTATTTAGATAAGATTGTGTATGATATCTTTTGAAATAGGTAAATGTAGTGTCTATTCTAAAATATAATTACAATTTGAAGTCATGTTTGGACAGACACCTTTCTTCTCTATATATCATATGGGATTTATTCTCCCAGGAGATAAGACATACTCATGTAATCATTTTTATTTTATAGTTAATTAAACTGAGTCACAGAGAAAGTAGATGATTTTTCAGATGATGGTAAAATATGATAAATTTGGATTATAGCATACCTCTTAGTTTTTCTTACAAACAGTTTTTGTTGTTTTAAATGAACTGATGCTTCTAGGGACAAGTATGGAAATTGAGGGGCTGAAAAGAAAGAGCTTGGTGACCCCATCTCTCCAGTTAATTCATTCTGCATATCTATTCTATGATTTTATCGAGTTAGGAGTACTCCCTATGTACTTTCTGGGTATTTAACATTTCATTTTAGAGGCAAACTATGATTCAATGAACCTTTTTTTTTTCTTTAAGGTTTGAGATTATAATAGATTTTACAAGCCTAAGAAGCAGGGACTGTGTGACCATCCTCAATGGAAAGGCTTTTTCGAAGGACTGCAAAGAGTTGAGGCGGTGTGCATGTGAAAGAAAGGCGGCCACGGTGAAGCCCGAGAGCCTCCGTTAGCTTCCCTGAGCTATTATATGGAGGTGATGGACTCTCCCACCATAACTGCAATGTCAAGCTCCCTTCAGGGAAACTGAAGATCAGAACAGAAATCAATCTCTTTATGTGCAGCTGTAAGAGTTTGGTTTTTTTCCCCATGTGATCCATATTTATACAACAATTCAGCATAAAGGTTGAGCCAAGCAAAGTCAATGCAAAGGATATTTGAGACTTTAGAACATGGAAAAAAAAGTTAGGAAAAGCAATTTTTCTGACTGGTGCAAGGATTTTTCATGCTTCCTGTTCAGGATCCCCAGCACTCCTGAGCTTGGGTTCATGCATATATTTACCAGTCACAGAGAAATCCCATGTGCCAACAACCAGTCCCAGAATCTCATAAAGTTGTAATCCACCTTCTCGTCTTAGAGATCACTTCTAGTGTTCTTCCTTCTCAGCATCTAGTGTCATCTCCCTGTTTCCAATACGTTTTCCTTCATATCTGGAGAAGTGAGAAACTTACCGAAGTAGAGGAAATAAATGTGTGTAACATTCTTTGCCCCAAAGGTCAAGTAGTCTGTGAGAAATTAGCAATTATTTCCTATACTGTGCTCCTAAATACATAATTAATTCTTTCTGTTTGCTTCACTCCATATTTTTCCCTTCCTAGTCTTTCAATAAAGCCCCTACCTGCCATGTCAATGGCCTGCTTCCCACTGGGATAATTTTTTTAGTTAGAATCTTAACTTCTTATGAACCTACCTCCCCATATCCATTGAAAACTCCAACAATTGGGGCACCTGGGTGGCTCAGTCAGTTAGGCATCCGATTCTTGATTTCAGCTCAGGTCATGATCTGAGGGTCCTGGAATCGAGCCCTGCTTCGTGTTCTGTGCTGAGTGGAACCTGCTTAAGATTTTTTGTCTCCCTCTCCCTCTGCCCCTCCCCACTCATGATCTCTCTCTCTAAAAAACAAACAAACAAACAACAAAAAAAAAACCCTCCAATAATTGTGTCCTTTCCCTAGGAATTTCTTCCAGGAAAGAAATATTCTCAGCTCAGTTCCATATCCAAATTACTGTCCCTAAGGCTCCCTTCAGCAATATTGAAGACCAGAGCAAAAGTCAGTCTCTTTATGTGGGTCTATAATAGTTTGGTTTCAGCTCCTATTTTCTTCCATTTGATCCATGTTTATGCCTTTCAGGTACTGAAGATTTAATAATAATAAATGTAAATAATGTGAAATGTGTGTGATGGAGAATAGATTTGTGATTTGGGGACAATTTCAGTGTGGAGATGCTCTTCAAAAATGGTAGCAATCTGTGTTCTGGTTGTTTGTGCCTTACAGAGAGTTTGTAGGGACTCTACAAGAGTACTGATTATTTGATTATTTGGGGGTTAAGTCTTTGAGAAACATGCTGTCTTTAAGAAGATGATTTTAATACGCTCCTGAGATGAAATCCTTTGAGGCAAGTTTGTCATTAACACATAGCTGAAGATGAGTAAATACAATCTTAATAGGGTGAGTTACCCAATAAGGTCATGGAAAGTGGAAAAGAAACTGTGAACATCTGCACACATCACCGGCTTCCTGTGTAGGCGCCCCCTTTCTCAGGATGCCAAGATGCACAATAGTAACAGGGGTCACCGCAAATAACACCATCACAACCAGTGACTTTGTTGATTTGTAGAGAAATCAGTTTTAGGGGTTTAATGCTCATGAGGATAATCTATTATCTTTACTTTTCAGCAGTGAAAACTAGGCTGCTTCAGTTTCATTTTCAGTAAACATCTATTACATGGTGAAATGACATTAAATTAGCAAACATGATAAAGAGAACATTTCTGTATTCATTTTCATAAGACTGTGTTACTTAGCAATCACTGCTTGTGGAATTCTTCCTTACGAATTTTCCTTTCAATTTTTTCTTGATTACGAAATTTCTTCAGTGTTGAACAAATTTTGTGTTCCATTTAGTGTGTCATGCAAAAACACTGTATTTGTGGTCATAAAATGAGAGTTTTAGACCTTGTATTCTGATCTGTTATTGGGTGAATCACTTCACTTCACTAAGCTTATTTCATTAAGCATAAAGTGCAAATGTTTATAATTTTCTCATGGTGCTGTTAGCTGAAATGAAGTAAATGTGAAATTAGTTTTATAATCCAAATTGTAATATAAAATGTAAAAGATATTAAAAATATGTAAAAAAAAAGGAATTAGTAATTTTTTTTTTTTAAATAAGGGAGCACACACAAGCATAAACAACCCTTTTTGGAGACCTGTATTCTTTAGTAAATTGTAGAGAAGCACTTTGGAAAGCTGTGGATATTACCAAATATTTTCTATAATCGGTGCAGATATTTAATGGATGCAAGTTAATATAATAAACATGTAACAAGAAATGTGGATGAGGACTTCAGCCAAGCAATTAAGTGTAATTTAAGTCTTGTTACTACAGGAAGAAAATGTGGTTAACCTAAGGAAAATCGAATGACTTTGTGGACTAAGTTGTAAATAGTGACATGACACACGTGTTGACCCCTGGCATCCTACATAACTGCAGTCTAGTGCAGGGTTGGATGACAAGTGTCTCTTTAAATGCCATTGCTTTAAAGAGTCTAGCTGCCTGGGCGTGGGTGGTGAATAGTATTTGAAGTATTCCCTTCAAATCTGCAACCTGAGGAAAGTGTCACTTTAGATAGTGAGGAGGGAAAAAAATAACATTTCTTTGACGTTTTTGCTATTCTTGACCTTATTTCTCTCCATCTCTGCCCTCAACCTCATCATCTGTATAACAAAACTCAAAACACTAATCCCAATATGAGCAAATATTTCAAAAGAAGAGTAGTATGGTATAACATTTTCTCCACAAACTTTTTTAAAATTTAAGAATAGGAAATAATCATGACATAATTTGCTGAGAACATTTTTCCGTGGAGAATCAGAGAGAGTATTGCCCCGTGAATTTTTTTGGCTTGAGAACTTTTCTCTTCCAGGCTCTTGTGTGTTTAGGTCATTCCGAAGAAATTTCAGGAAAAGTCAAATGAGGAACATAGTCTTTCCTGGTAGATCTGAGTGCCCTAGGGTACACAATGAGCTATTTCTTTTCCTGAGGATATTGAACCAGCTCTTAAAACTTATCAACAGGAAACAGTCATGAGTCCTGCAATAGCAGGAAGAGTGAGAAGTATAAGGGGAGCTTTTACTTTGGGGACAGAAGCAATTATGAAATAAATAGAAGAGTCTAGTAGATTGCCTCAGTTTCAGCGTTAATATTTGGGAGGTCAAATACTTTGTGAAGGGATTCTTGTCATTTATGAAGAGTACAAAAAAAAATCACAATCTGATTTAAAGTGTATATAACTTTTTTTTACAAGGTTCATTGGATGAACAGATATTTATAATCTAATATTATTATTCTATCAATATTACTATTCTAATGTTTTTCTTTTTTACACACTTAATAAACTTTACCCATGGCGTATAACAAAGCTTCTTTACATTTGTAGGACAGAGTTTTCTGTTTCCTTTTCCCCTCCCCCCTTTTTAAATCTAACTTGGATTTCAATGAAATGGATCAAAGATATACCATTTATTATGGGTGAGACCGAGATCTAAAACTTGTTATCCCAGGGCCAAGGCCCAATCTCTCACCAGTGCCTGGAAAAAGATCTTGATATTTTGGACCAAAAGCAACCTGTAGGAAAAAATCTTCCACCCATAATATCTATGTGAAAAGCAGTATTGCCACTGAAGAAATTTGCCAGCTGGGCTGTCGATAAGATTCTGACTTGCAAAGACTGCATCACATATTGATGGGATGACATCAGCCGAAGGATGTTTGCCTTTTGCTTCATTGTACTTTTTCTTAAAAGAGTTATTAAATGCTTCCTATCCTTTCTCTAAACATAGTCCCATGACAATGCTCTGAAGAATCTTGAAGACAAACGGTCTTTACTACTAAAAATTGTTATTGTTTCTCCTCCATTCCAAGTTATTATATTCAGCTTCCAGCTGTCAGCTGTGAAAACCAAACACAGGATTCAACTTATACTCTGTTTTCCATGCTATTTTCTTTCTCTAGATTCAGCAGAAAATTAGAAAAATCCCTTTTACTGAAAGGCCCATCATTTAAACTCCAGGTCAAGGGTAAATTAAAAACAACAACAACAACATGAAACATGTTCTTCCCATCCTTAAAGGACCTACTCCTTCAGAGGTCACCTTTTATAATAGACTTCTAGGTTCATTTAAATGATTTCTACTGCCTCGGTGAATTGGGTTTTATTTTACTTTTAAAATAAAGTAAGTGGATGGGCCGCCAGGGTGGCTTAGTCGTTGAGCGTCTGCCTTCGGCTCAGGTCATGATCCCAGGGTCCTGGGATCGAGCCCTGCATTGGGCTCCCTGCACAGGGGGAAGCCTGCTTCTCCCTCTCCCACTCCCCCTGCTTGTGTTCCCTCTCTTGCTGTCTCTCTCTGTCAAATAAATAAATAAAATCTTAAAAAAAAAGTAAGTGGTGTCTTTATTATAAAGAAAGATGAGACTCCAATGTAGCTCAAATACTCCTTGCGAAAAATGAAAGATTAAATAAAATTATATTGAATTTAGCAGGTATTTGATGAAAATTTACCGTGTAGTAAGGTATTCTAAGGATGGTAAGTGGTAAAAAAGTAATATAATAATAATTAGTGAATTTTTCCTTCCTACAGATCATAAGTTACTTTCATATCTCCTGTCTTTTGGGAACAAGCTAATCTATGTCCAAGGAGCCTCCAGACCTAAGATACAGATTGTCTATAGATTTATTTGAGGATATTCATTAACTTTGAAACAGATATTCTGTCTAGACAGTTGTTGACATTTTACATATAAACTTCATCTTCTCAATATTCCTGTAACATGAGCAGGAAAAAAGGTCATTTTTATCTGGTCTACATCCCTAGATGCCTAGAGCTGACTGGTGATTTACTCCAGATAACAGTAGGGAGCATTGATACAGTGTCAAAACTCTAAGAAAGGCACTATTCTTAGCAATTAACATATACATACTTCAATCTTCAAATATTATTTTGAAATAAATTCTATTATTATTTTATAATGAAGAAACTGAGGCACAGAGAGATGCAGTTGAAAGTGCTGGAGTGTTACTTCTCTAAAAAAGACATCCAGATGGCAACAGACACATGAAAAGATATTCAACATCAGGGGCGCCTGGGTGGCTGTCGGTTAAGTGGCTGCCTTCTGCTCAGGTCATGATCCTGGGGTCCTGGGATTGAGCCCCACATCCAGCTCCCTGCTCGGTGGAGAGCCTGCTTCTCCCTCTCCCTCTGCCTGCCACTCTGCGTACTTGTGCTTTCTCTCTATCTCTCTGTCAAATAAATAAATAAAATCTTAAAAAAAAAAAGAAAAGATATTCAACATCACTCATCATCAGGGAAATGCAAACCAAACCCCAATGAGAAATCACCTCACACCTGTCAGAATGGCTAAAATCAAAAACTCAAGAAACAACAAGCATTATGAGGATGTGGAGAAAAAGGAACCCTTGAGTGCTGTTGGTGGGAATGCACACTGGAGCAGCCACTGTGAACAGGATGGAGGTTCCTCAGAAAGTTAAAAATGGAAGTACCCTACGGTCCAGTAATCACACGACTGAATATTTACCCCTCCAAATACAAAAACACTAATTTAAAGGGATACATGCCCCCTCATTTACTGCAGCATTATTTACTATAGCCAAGATATTGAAGCAGCCCAAGTGTCCAACG